CTTGGGGCTGCGGGCTCCCGGGTGGCGGTGCCGGGAAGTCGCTGTGGGCGGGGACCGCGGCTGCGGCGGGCGGCGCTCTCCACCCGGGTCCTCGTGGGGAATGCCTGAGCGTGGACGGACTGGACCGCTCTGTTCCCTCCATCCCAGCCGCCGCCCGCAGGTCGGTCGCCGCGGTTTCCATGGAGCGGGAAGCCGAGGGTGTGAGAACTTCACTCAGGCGGGCGAGGCGACGTCCGCACGGGGCTGCGCGACAAGAACAGTCCCTGCGCGTTTTCAAACGTCCAGGCTGTTGCACGGTAAAAACCAAACCCAGCAGCCCTCTCATTAGTAAGTTGAACCATCCTTTGCTACAGCGAAAGGCTGTATTGGTTGCCAAGGGATTTAAAATTAAGTTGAGAGGGAAGGATATTTATAATTACTGTCTGTTTTTAATTATACTCAGACTTGTGCCGTTCTAAGGACATAATTATTTTGATGCAGTTTTTATGTTTTGTTTTGTTTTTTGATGTGTGTGATTTGGGACTGTGTTGCCTTGGCTGGCCTGGAACTTGCTATGTAGACAGGCTAACCTCTAACCCAGAGATCCACTTGCCTCTTTCTTCTGCATGCTGAGATGCAATGTTTTAACTCTGGTTTCTGAGAATCTCAACAGTAATTCCCGGAGCTATAATCTGCTTCCACGTCTTTAACTTTTATTATTTTTAACTTATATGGTAAAAATAACCTTTTGGAGTTTTAGTTTCATGTAATCACCAATGCAGTCAGGCTATAAAACCAGTCCTACTATCTATTAAAACCTCATACTGTTTCTTTATATGATATGTCTTACTCCTGATTCCTCGGAATTACTTATGGTATCAGAATGTCATTTAAGTGTAACAGTTTGGGGTGTCGATAACTCTTTAACTGACTGTGTATAGTGCCCTTGAGATTCAAGATGCATCCATATTGGTTATTTGGGGGGGCTTTCTATCTATCTAGTTATTTTGAGACAAGCTCTCAGACAATCATAAGATTATCATTCTTCAGGTCCCACCTCCCACGTGCTGGGATGACAGATATGTGCCAGGTGTGTGTGGTGTTAGGCATGGAATCCAGAGCTTTGTGGAGTTAGGGAACAATGTACCCACTGAGCCAATTGTCTCTTCCCACATTGTTTCCTGTATTTTTTAAATTGCTAAGTAGTATTAGTTAGGTGAATCTGCCAAATATATCCAATTATATTATCCACCCACGGAAGGATATTTGGGTAGTTTTCAGTGTTAGGAGATCATGTATAGGGTTGTGATGGGGCTGAAGAAATGGCTCCTTGGTTCAGAGCACTGGTTAAGGTTCTTTTAGAGGACCTGGGCTAGATTCCCACACCCACATGGCAGCTCACATCCGCTTAAAACTCCAGTTTTAGGGAATCTGATGATGCCTTCACACAGACATGCAGGCAAAACATGAATACATTAATATATATTAAGATGAAAGTAAATAAATCTCCCATGCAAGTACTAACCAGATCCAACTTGCCTAGCTTCTGAGATGAGATGTGCCCAGGGTAGTATGGTTGTAGATTTTGTGTGTATGTGTGTGTTCTACAGATTTTTGTGTGATCTTGAGTTTTATTTCCGTAGGGTATTGAGTTGTGTGGGATTGGGGGATTATATAGTAATTCAGGTCTTCAGTTGTATCTTCAGCTCTGAAAACTGTTTTCCAGAGTGGCTCTGTTATTTTCCATTCCTCCCAGTTCAGTTGCTCCTCCTCTTTTCTGTTTGTCCGTACACACACTGGTGAGCCATTGGGTTGCATGTGCCTTTAACTAACAGCCACAGTCATTGAATGCCTGTGTGCCATGTGCCACGCACACTCTTGTGTGTACTGTCTACAGCTGTTGCTTGTTTTAACTTGACTGCATTCCCTTGTGTTGAGCCTGAGGGTTCTTTCCGACGCTCTAGATACCGGTTATGTCAGGTAACGGAATTTGAAAGTGTTTTTTCCTCGTCGCTGTCTTGCTATTCATTGCCTTCCTTATTCGTTATCGTTTGAAACACATGTTTGTATCTGTTTATTTGCTTTTGAGAAAGGGTCCTCAAAATATGTACACAGAGTAGTCTGGAACTTGTTGCCTCCTGTCCCAGCCTCTCAAGTGCAGGAATCTCAGGCGTGCACCGCCCTTCTGAGCTGTTTCTTTGTTGTTGCTTAGGTGGTTTTGTTTTGTTTTGTTTTGTTTTGTTGGTTTGAGACTTCCTCATTAGCCCATACTGGCCTGGAACTCTGAACAAGGATGAGTTTGAGGTTCTGATCCTCCTGCCTCACCTTCCAAATACTGGGTTTACAGGCGTGTGCTACCATTCCTGGTGAATATTTTTGTGTTTTGAAGTTATCTTACTGTGATTGTGCACGTAGATGACGTGTGTGAGGGCAGGTGTGCACGTGTCATGTGAAGACCTGGAGGACAGAAGACAGCTTTCAGAAGTCAGCTCTCTCCTTCGCTGTGGGGTCTGGGTGTTGAATTAGGTCACCTGCCTCCTGCAGCTCTCTCTGCTGAGCCATCATCTTGCACAGTGGTCCTCAGCCTTGCTAAAGCTGCGACCCTTTAATACAGTTCTTCATGTTGTGGTGACCCCCCAACCATAAAATTGTTTTTGTTGCTACTTCATAACTGTAATGTTACTGCCGTTATGAATTGCAATGTAAATATTTTTGGAGATAGAGGTTTGCCAAAGGGGTCACGGCCCACAGTTGAGAACCACTGAACAGCGCCCCATGTTTTCAGTTTTGATGTCTAGTTTGTCAGTTTTCCCCTCATGTTGTATCTTCTGGTTTCCTGAGACTTTAAACCCAGTCAGAAATCTATTCTCCTATAGACTTGCTCTTCCCAGCTGTAAGTTTACATTTGTGGTGCATTTGAGGTTCATTGTGTAAGGTGAAGCTTTACATTTGTGAAGCTTTGAGTCCTCTCTCCTGGGTGATTTCGAATTATACTGTTTTAAGTTGGACAATGCAATTTCCTTCAACCTTATTTTATTCTATGATAATTCTGAGGGTTAAACCTAGAGCCTTAGGCATGCCAGGCAAGTGCTGTGCCCCTGATCGACATGCCCAGTCTTCTTTGTACTTCTCATTGTGACATAGGATCTTGAGAATGACTAGGGTGGTCTCCAGCAGGCCTGGAGCTTGCTGTCCTGCCGTCGCCTCCTGAGTAGCTCAAAGCTGAGGTTCTTGAGAGTTCCACTCTGACCTACTGGAACGTTTTCCTGCACTGCCGTACTATATCCCACAGAGTCCCACATTGTACTTTTCTATTATTATACTTCATAATTATAGTAGATTATATTAGATATTACTTCTCTTTCTTGAGACAGGGTCTAGCCATATAGCCTAGGCTAGCCTCAGACTCAGTCTTCCTGCCTCTGCTCCAACAAGTGCTGAGATTACAGCTATACCAGTTACTTACTTTTCTCTAGGCTTCTGCGATCTGTGGATCCTTAGAAATTTTTCATTTCAAAATGTCAAGGTTTTCCTATTCACTCTGTCACTGGTTTCTGGTGTGAGTCTGTTATGTTCAGTGAATACACTTTATTGTTTTCAGTATTTTAATCTTGTTGACACTTCCTTCTTAAATATATGTATATATTATTTTTAAAATTATAATTGCATTATTTACCATTTCTCCCTTCTCTTTCCTCCCCCCAGTCCTTCTCATGTACCCCATCTTGCTCTCTTTCAAATTCATGGCTTTGGGTTGGAGAGATGACTCAGAGGTTAAGAGCACTGGCTCTTAGAGGTCCTGAGTTCAATTCCCAGCACCCACATGGTGGCTCACAACCATCTGTAATGAGATCTGGTGCCCTCTTCTAGCCTGCAGGCATACATGCAGACAGAAGAACACTGCATACATAATAAATAAATAGATCTTTAAAAAGAAATCCATGACTTCTTTTTATTTAATTATTGTTGCGTGTGTCTGAATACAGCCTCCTCAGCCCATATAATATCTCTTGTATGTCTTTGTTTTCAGTGCTCACCATCTGATACTGGGTAAGCAATTGGCGTGTGCTTCTCTTGGTAAAACTGTTTCTCCTGCTCTCAGCATTCCTTAGGTGCCAATAGCTCTCTGTGCAGGATTGAGGCCTGTGAGCGTCCCTCAGTTTGTGTTAGCATGTCCGTTGGTGTTGGCCTTGCTTAGCTCTTTAGGCAGCTGTGCTGGTGAGAGTCTGTGTTAGCATGTCCATTGGTGTTGGCCTTGCTTAGCTCATCTTTAGGCAGCTGCGCTGGTGGATTCTGTGAACACGTCCTTTGACACTCTGAGGAGACGCCATTTCACAGCTGCTTTCTGCCATGGCTCAGAATATGTTCTGTCTTGGGAAAACATACTCAGTGCACTCTAATCCTTTAAAAAAAAATGTTAGTGTTTTGCCTGCACATACACCTGTATACTATGGGTGTGTCCTGGTACCCATGGAGGCCAGAAGACGGCATCAGATCCCCAGGACTGGAATTACAGACATTTATGAACTGTTATATGGTTGCTGGGAATTGAATCTGGGTCCTCTGGAAGAGCAGCCAGTGCTCTTAACTGCTGAGCCATCTCCCCAGCTCCACTTAGTGCATTCTTGACAGGAAGTGTATTCTGTTGTGGAGAGAGTTCTGTAAATATTGATATTGATTTGATTCTGTAACTTTTTTTCTATCTAGACTCTTTAGTACATCTGTAGGAGTTTTTGAATGATTGTTCTGGGTGTTACACTGTGTGTGCATATACACAGATATATGTGTATATGATAAAGCATATCGGAGTTAGTGTTCTGTCAGTTCCAGTATAAAATCCTCTTTCCATTCCTTTATCTTAATTGTCTTAATTATTTTCTTCACACGCATTGTAAAGAGAGAAACAAGAAGTCTGTTGCAGTTCGCAGTATTTTTCTGTCTGCCATGCACATCCTTTTGATAGTCCAGGATTCTGCCTCAGGAATGTCTTTTTGTTCTTTGCTGCAGACTGTGGCAATCTCTGTTTCTCCAGATCAGAAGCTGTCCTGACTCCTCTTTCTCTCCTGAATGGGTCGTGGCTCTGTATTGACAGATCATCTCTTTTAGTGCCCACAAAATCACGTGCCCTTTCTTTTGACCTTTACGGTTGATGTTATGTGATCTATATGTAGTAGGTATGGTGGCGCTTGCCTGTAGTTCCTGACACACCTCTTCCAGGAAGACCACCCTTCCTAATTCCCTCAGAGGCAGGAGGCTTTGATGCTGGGGGTTTGTGCATAAAAACATGCCCCTGCCTCTGAGCTAAATCTCCTGCCCCTCTCTTGCTGTTTGATAAATACGAAACACTCCGTCTGTCGGTGCTCTGAAGGTGTGTCTTCCGTTTGCCATATTCGCTCTTTCTTGGGTCTGGATTTTGTTAGCTCTGCCTGGTTTGGGATTCAATTAGCTTCTTTGAATTTGTGGTTTTTCTAAATTTGGGGTGTTTCGGTCTTTAGTTTTTCAGATGCCTCTCAGCCTCACCATTTTGCTCCTTTCTTGTCATAACTCTGGTGGCAGCAGCGTTAAATTCTGTTTCTCAGGGTCTTTGAGGCTCTGCCTTTTTTCCTTCAGTGTGCTGTGTTGTTCATATTGGATATTTTCTATTGCACGATCAAATTTGCCCCTTTCTTTTGTTCTCCCATTCTGCCGTTGACTCTTGTCTAGTGACAGTCTAGTGTTGTAGTTAGAATGTTCACGTGTAAACTCTTGATTCTTCCATACATTGTTCTTGGCTAAGACTTGTTGTCCACTGAAACTGAGGGTGGAAAGGGATCCTCCATTAAGAGGCACCCATGATGGCACCCACCAGGTTTACTGCTTGGGAAGAGGAGAGGCACTTCATAGTACTGTTCCTCGTATGGTCCCCACTAACACCGCACTGGATGGGAAGGTGGAAGTTGATGCTTTCTGATAGGCCTCTGACAGTTCTCCAGAAAAGGAGGAGGTGTGATGGAGGTGAGAAGCGAGGTGGGCGGAGTGGGCATCCCACCTCCCTGTGTGGTCTCCAGTGATGCAGTGGTGGTTTTGTGTGTGGAAAGGAACGACCTGCTTCCTTCCCCTTGGAGATGTAAGCTGCCCTTTGGTACACAGTGTCATCATGAGGGTGTTTTCTGTCTTGGCTCCTTGCTCAGCTGCCCCTTTCCTGGCCCTTTGGCCAAAGAGAGCTGCCTTTCGTTGAGATTTTTTTGTTTGTTGGTTATTTGACTTCTTCATAATCTAGTTTGAGAAGTAAAAGATACAAAGAGCTCAAAGTACATTCACTATTGTTTTGTTCCTTGTATCTGCAACCTATAGCCAGTTCTCCTTTCTGTTTTTCAGAGGCCTATGTGTGCTTTATGTGATGTGCAGAGGTTTTAGTTACACTTGGAGAGTGGAACAAAAGTGTCTCTAAAGTATATGTATTTATATTCCTTATTTGTCTGTATACGTATGTATTTGTGCACTTGTGAGTGCTTGTCCCGTTGTCTGTGTGTGCACGGAGGCCAGATGAGGGCATCAGGTGCGCTTCTGCATCTTTCTCCACCTGTAACGTTGAGAGGAGATCTCGCTCTGAACCCGGGACTTTTGTTTTCTTGGCTAGGCTGTAAGTCAGCAAGCCCTAGAAATTCCTTTGTCTTCAATTTCCCTGTATCTGGGATTATAGCTATGTGGGAGACACCCAACTTTGCTACCCAGGGTTGGGATCTCAGGGTTGGTCCCATGGTTGTAAAGTGTGTATCTAAACTGTTGAGCCATTTGTGTAACAGAGTCTGAGAGACTGTGTGTGTGTGTGTGTGTGTGTGTGTTTTCAAGAAAGGGTTTTTCTGTGTAGCCCTGGCTGTCCTGGAACTCACTCTGTAGACCAAGCTGGCCTTGAACTCACAGAGATCCACCAACCTCTGCTTCCTGAATGCTGGGATTAAAAGGCGTTCACTGCCACTGCCTGACTGAATATATATTTTTAAAAGGACAAAATTCAATTTTTTTATTTATTTTAAAATTCAAGGTTTTTGTTGCTGGAATTTTGTTGTAGACTTTATCATTTTTTTCTTCTTTTTGGAACTTAACAGCTTCTAGGGTGAAGAACTGTGAGGTGCAGCAGAGGAAGCTGACGCCCTAAAACTGAGCCAGTGTGCAGTACAGCTAGATGAACAAGGCCACATCTTGGTAAGAATTGTAGTTTGTAGTGTTACTTTGCTTTCTGAGATGCCATCCCACTGCGTAGCCCACGCTGGCCTGGCCCAGTCTCAGTTAGCCTCATGAGGGCTGAGACAATGGCTTTGCTGCCGTTCCTGCTAGACTTGGCTGTGCTCCTGAGCATTTTGGAGACCGGTAGTCAGAGGCTGCTAGATGAAGTCTTGGTTTCATCCTAGAGCCCTGAAATCACATTTTCAGAGCACAGGAACCAAACATCACTGCCCTTTAAAGTCTTGCTTGGTTCCGGCATCAGCCACAGTCCAGAGGCACTAGCATAGGCTCCTGGTTCTAACATTTACTTGATTATAAAGTCCAGTGGGGGAGCGTATCCATCTGGGCTCTCCAAGAAGCAATGCCAAGATGAAATTAACAGTATAAGAGGCTTATGGGGGAAATTCTTGGGAAGGCTGAAGAGAAACACCTTCAGATTGCAGTGTCCGGTTGATACCTGCAAAAGAAGGATTTGGAGGATGGAGCTCCAGCCTGCCGCTGCTTGGCTGGAGAGCCCAGGGCAAAGAGGAACCCACACTAAGCACAGATGGCCTCACTCTGGTTGTCCTGTCTCAGGGAAGTGTGGCCTTGAAAGGCACGGGCAGTGGTGGAACCAAAGGTGGCAGCGCAAGCATCTTTCTGGAAGGGAAGCCTAAGATGTGCCTTGTGTGCCTCTTGGTTTTTCTTGTTTGTACTCTTCTGTTTTTGAGACATGTTTTCACTGTAGACCAGGCCGCCTTTAAACCTGTGATGGTCTTCCTTCCGCTGCCTCCTGATTGTTGGGATTGCGGGTTTGCACCGCCATGCCCAGCTTGTGCTTCTCTTCCAAACTAGATTCAAAGGCTACTGCTGTGAAGTTTCTGACTGTGTATGGCTAGATCTTCTCAGAAATACTTCTAGAAGATTCTTAGGACCATGCTAAGACTCATGCTGGGGTGAGTCTGAAGCCTTAGATATATTCTTGCATTTCAGGTTCAGTCTATGTAGTAATAGGTTTTCAGTTACAAGAGTCGAAATATAATAGCCAAGTAGGCATGATGTTTTAAGAACTATAGGAAATTGACTTTCTATTTTTAATGTGAGGTATGCATATTCTATTACATTGATTACCTGGTAAACTATAACTGGTCTCAAACCAAACAATCTGTAGTATTGGGTAATTTGTGTGGCGCTCATTGTAATGTGAGCGCTGAAACAATTAACCAAGAGCTCAGTGTGACGCCTGACTGTATATCATTACACAAAACGTTTCTTTGGGGTAGTTTCTTTAAAAGGTACCTCTAAGGTTGAGAAATGTTCTCTGTTTTGTTTTTAATAATCCATTTGTTTTTACATCCTGTGAGATTGTATCACATAAAATGAGTGTTTGCTTGTGTAACTCATACGTTGCTAAAGTTTTTACACGTATCCTTGGTCAACAACTCTGTGAGATGGATATTGTTGCCAGAAAGCTGAGTGTTGAAGAGACTAAGTAATAAATCCAATTCTTCAACTTCAATGCCAAATCTTTGTGTCTAAAAGGATTGTGCGGATAAGGTACCAGTCTTTACCTTTCTGAGGTTAACATGGAAAACGGTGGATTGGGAGCCTCAGCCTTTGACAGATTATTACAATGTAATGTGATTGTTTCCTGATAAAAATACTTTTACTTTAAGTTATAGGCTTGCAGAGACGATCTGATCACCTGGAATTAGAGCTGATCCTGAAACCGCTTCTGTTTCAAAAATGTTGGAGGAAGATATGGAAGTAGCCATCAAGATGGTGGTCGTAGGGAATGGGGCCGTTGGAAAGTCCAGTATGATTCAGCGATATTGCAAAGGCATTTTTACAAAAGACTACAAGAAAACCATTGGTGTTGACTTTTTGGAGCGACAGATTCAGTATGTACTTGGCATTTTATCCTTTGGTTCTGATTTGCAAAGTGTCTAAGACTCCACTGGCATGAGAACCTGCTTTGCTGTCCAAGCCAGGCAGCAAGTGGCAGTGGCTCACGAAGCAGTTAGTGCTGTTGGGTTTGTTGGTGGTGGTTTGATTTGTTCAGTTTTCTAAACAAGGCCTTCTTTTGCCCACACTGGCCATGAACTCCTGATCCTCCTCCTTCCTCCCAGGCACTTGGATTGCACAGGCTTTGCTACTATACCGGGCCCTTATTTTTGTTTCTGAGACAGGTTCTTACTGTTGTCACTCAAGCTGCGCCTCTTTTGACCTCCTGAGTGCTAAGGTTTTAGGTGTCTGCCATCTGCCAGCCTGAGGTAGTTCTCAGGGGGTTGTTTTATTTATTTTGTTTTGTTTGTTTAGTTTTTTGTTTTATCATATACTTTAATCTTTGGCTCTTCTTTTCTTGTAATTTTCCCCTTTCCTCTAATGTTTTTCATTTTCCTCTTTACTACTCCTTCCCCTCTCCCTTCTGTATGTCCTATTAGTGACTGTTCTCTCTGTGCTGTGTTGTTTAGAAGGAACATTTCAACTGTCTTATAATTTTTCACTTAAGAGGCTCCTTTTGTTTAGATTGTCTCTTTCTTTAAATTTTTTCTTTTTTTTTTTTTTTTTGAGTCTGGGTTTCAAGTAGGTGAGTGTGGCCGTGAACTTGCTCTGTAGCAGAGGCTGGCCTTGAATCCTGATCTCCAGCCTCCACCTTCTGAGTGTCCAAAATTACATTTGCTCACTACCACACCTGGTGTTTCCTTCAAAAAACTGAACACCAGTAGACAGAAGTTAGAGATACAGTAATACACCTTTATCCTGAAGAAATAAAAGCAGTTGGGTTTAGGAGTATTCAGTTTGCTCACAGAAGGAAGCCCTGTTTCAGGAAACCCACCCGGACTCTAAAGTACTGGAGTGATGCTTTGTTCACCAACACTGAGACCCTCCAGCTCCTTTGGGTTGTACCTGACTCGCTGCCCACTTACTAACTTGCAGCAGAGATAGTGGTCCTCATTGATTCTGGTCTGCCTGGTATGCTCTTGTGCTACATCCATGTTTGCCACCTTAAAACATACTTTAAGAGGACTTGTTTTGTCTTGATGGTATTTGTATTTTGTACTTGTACCGGAAATAAAAATTAATATTTTAGATATTAGTTGATATTTATTATTCATAGGGTTTCATTTTTAATTGTGTGCTGGTGAGTGGGCATGTGCCCATGAATGCAGAGGCCTGCAGAGGCCAGAGACAGCAGTCCCCTGGAGCGTGAGATTCAGGCAGTTGTGAGCCGCTCTCCATGGGTCTGGGACTGCACTCAGGTGCTTTGTAAGGGTAGTATGTGCCTGCTTGTAACCACTGAGCCATCTTCCCGCCCTTACTCATAGGCTCTTTGTTTGCAAAGTCACCTCCTTGCTAAAAATTATTTGAAGTCGCAGAGTCACTGCTTTTGTGGTCACTCGCTGAATGGACGGGGGCTACAGAAACACAGGAGTTGTCCAGCATGTACTTTCCCAGCTGTGCCAGCCAGGTGCTACTTCTTGTTTTAGCCCGGATACAATAAACATGTCCTGCTTTGTTTTTGTGTAGTGCACGTTTTCACACTCTCCTTTCGTGCTGGTGATTTGGCTGTCACACATGTCACACAGAGCTGTACTGCTGCAGCTCTGTGGGGTGCTTCTGAGTGCAGGAAGGCTATGTGTGCCTTATGAGAAGAACACCGTGTTAGATCAGTGTTCATACCGGAGTTACAGTGCTCGCTCTACTGCTGCTGGGCATCAGCTCAGTGAATTACCATGTAATAAGATATCTTTAAGTAGAAACACATAAAACAAGGTTAGATGTTGATCAACTAATGAAAAAGAACCAGTACTTCCTTTTTTGTCTTGAGATGATGTCTACTAACATAACACAAGTTCGAGGTTATCTTGTCTTAGAATCCAGTACTGGGATTACAGGCATGCATCCGAGCTGGCGCTCAGGAACCTGACCTTGTATTGTCCCCAGAAATAGGATGGCTCTGTATTTGATAATTTAATATTCCCAATAACATTTGACAGCAGAGGGCATAGCTCAGTGGTAAAGCATGTGACTAGCGTTGACTGGCACTCAATGAGTGCTGGATGTAATTTCCAGCACCACATAGAGATATAACCATGGCTCCTGAGGTTCTTCCTTCCCTGTTCTCATCCCATCGATAGGGCACCAAACCCATTCAGACTGGTGTAGGTGTAGTGAGAGGAGAAAATGATCTGACCCAAGGATTCCCCTTTCCCAGTTCTACAGCTGTCGTTGTAGACAACGCAGGCAGGCAGAGTGTAGTGTCTTCACTGTACCTTCACTACTGGGGAACCTATTTAGAGTTATTTTACTCTGACTTTCAGAGTGAAATGAACCATAGAGCTTTCAGACTTTTGGTTTGAAAAATAAAAATGTACATGAATCTTTTTCATCTTGTATGGACTAAATTCATCTCTTGTTTCAGAGTTAACGATGAAGATGTCAGGCTAATGTTATGGGACACCGCAGGTCAGGAGGAATTTGATGCAATAACGAAGGCGTACTATCGAGGTAAAATATGAAACTTACTCTTGGCTGGATGAAGGACCGTGCATTTTTCATGTCTTAGTTCGGGTTTCTGTTGCCGTGATAAACACCATGACTAAAAGTAATTTGGGGAGGAAACGGGTTGTTTCATCTTACAGGACTCAGGTCATACTCTATCACAGAGGGAAGTCAGGGTAGGAACTGAGGCAGAGACCATGGAGGAATGCTGCGTACTGGCCCGCACGTGCCCACAGTGGGCTGGGCTGCCCCCCACCAGTCATTAATTAAGAAATGCTCTACAGACTTCCCTACAGACCAGTCTCGGAGGCATTTCCTCAGCTACGATTCCCTCTTGCCAGACGTGTCTAGGTTTGTGTCAGGTTGACAGTACCAACCTGCACACTGTTTTTTATTTGATTCTCTTTAAGAATAAAATAGGTGGAGTGTAGCCCTTCGTTACAGTGCTTACCTAGCATGCACTGAGCAACGTTCAGTACCCAGAACCAGGAAAGAATGGCAGCAATAGCAGGAGTGCTGACCAGGTGTGGTGACGTACACCTGTCATCTCAGCACGGAGGAGGCGGAACCAGGGACAGAGCAGGAGGGTTATGGGAAGTTTGAATCCAGCCTGGTCTATGTTTCAGGCCATCCAGGGATATATAGAGAGACCTGTCTCAAAAAAAAAAAATTGGTAATAGAGAATTTTCAAAAACTCTAGTTCAGTATCCTTTTAAAGGTCTTGTAAAGAAACAGAGCTTTGTGCTATAGACAGATTGTCCCACCTTAAAGTCATAATACGCCTATAGGCCATGGAGACAGGATCAGCCAGGAACTGGCCCATCAGCTCCTTTCTTGGCTTCTTCCAGGTAATGTTGGCATCTGGCTTATTTTCTTTCCATAATTGTATAAGACTTGGGTTTTACTTTTTTATTTTGTGCTGTTTTATTTTATTTTTTGGTGCTGCTGGGGATTGGAGCCTAGGCATATACTGTTAGATTCTCCTGCCTCAGCTTCCTGGGTACTGAGATTACAGCACTAACCACTGGGCATCTCTACTTCAGTGGTTTTAGTTAACCACAAATCATACTGTTTCTCTTTATTATGTTTATAAAATCTGTTCTTTGCCAGAACTAAAAAAAAAAAAAAAAAAAAAAAAAAAAAGACCACAATGTTGCTTACATTCTAAACATGATGTTTAAATTACTTTCTACTGTTTCCTTTGGCTAAAAAGGCTTTAAATAGCTTTGGTTTCTGTAAATATATCATTTTAACTTAAAACGGCCTTAAGTTTATAAATAGAATCCTATTAAAGGCCCATCTTAATAATGTAACTAACTCTTCATCCGGTTCTGTTAAAATGGCAAGGAGGGTAGGAAATTGGTGGTCCTGCAGTTGTTTCAGCTTCTGTTGTAGATTCCACAGGCGAGCATTTGTCACAGGACCGACCGAATCAAGGAAGACACAGCAGCAGCAGCTGAGCTTACATCTGAGAAGTGCCTTATTCAGCATCCCTCTGTGGTTTCTTGGGGTTCCATAAGATCGCTGAAAACAGAAAAGCACTTTCAAACAAGGTGTATTAATTTGATTAATATGGAAATCTGGAAGTAACGTAGCCTTTAGCTGTTAATATTTAAGATCGTAGCTGGATGTGGTTTATGCCTTTAATTCTAGCACCCAGGAGACAGAAGCAGGCTAATATCTATGAGTTTGAGGCCAACCTGATCTACATAATGAGTTCTAGGCCAGCCAGGACCACATAGAGACATAGAGAGACCCTGTCTCTAAAAAAAGTGGGGCCTACCCTGGATTAAGGCTGATATATCTAGTGTTTGGCTTTTGTGTTTTCTTCCCCTTTAGTATTTGTATAATTGTGTGTGTGTGTGCACATGCACACGTGTGTCACATGTGTTCAGAGATTAGGGAGATCAGAAGATGTGGATCCCATGAAGCTGGAGTTTCAGATGGTTGTGAACTGCACACCATGGGTGCTGGGAGTAAAGCTTAAGTCCTCTGGGAGAGCCACTAGCACTCCTTTCTTATTTACTTTTTTAAATTGATACTTATTAATCTCTACATTTTTCTCTCCTCCCCTCCCTGCCATCTAGCTCTCTTAGGTGAGTTTGCCTCTTTTTGTTCTAAAGTTTTCAAATGTTCTGTTAATTCACTAGTGTGGGATTTTTTCCAGCTTCTTAATGTAGGCGTTTAGTGCTATGAACTTTCCTCTTAACACTGCTTTCATTGTGTCCCATAAATTCGGGTATCTTGTATGGTCATTTTCATTGAATTTTAGGAAGTCTTTAATTTCTCCCTTTATTTCTTCCTTGACCCATTGATGATTCAGGTGAGCATTGTTTAATTTCCATGTGTTTGTGGGTTTTCTGGAATTAGTATTGCTGTTGACTTCGAGTCTTATACCATGGTGATCTGATAAGGTACATTGGGTTATTCTAGTTTTTTTTTTTTGTATTTGTTGAGGTTTGTTTTGTTACCGAGTATGTGGTCAATTTTTGAAAAAGTTCCATGAAGTGTTGAGAAGAAGCTATATTCTTTTCTGTTTGGATGGAATATTCTATAGATGTCTGTTAAGTCCATTTGAGGCATAACATCTGTTAGTTCTTTATTTCTCTGTTCATTTTTTGTCTGATTGACCTGTCCAGGGTAAGAGGGAAGTGTTGAAGTCTCCCATTATTATTATGTGGGGTTTAATGTATGATTTAAGCTTTAGAAGTGTTTCTTTCACATATGAGGGTACTCTTAAATTTGGGGCATAGATGTGTTCAGTATTGAAATTTCCTCTTGATGGATTTTTCTTGTGACTAATATGAAATGACCTTCTTTGTCTCTTTTGACTGATTTTAGCTTGAAGTCTATTTTGTTAGATATTAGGATAGCTACACCTGCTTGTTTCTGAGGTCCATTTGATTGGTATATTTTTTCCCAACCTTTTACTCTGAGACGATGTCTGTCTTTGAGGTTGAGATGTGTTTTTTGTATGCAGAAGAAGGATGGATTCTGTTTTTGTATCCAATCTGTTAGCCTGTGCCTTTTTATAGGTGAGTTGAGTCCATTTACATTAAGGGATATTAATGACCAGTGATTGCTATCTCCTGTTAGTTTAGTTTTGGTGATGTTAATTTGTACATTTTTTTCTTCTTTGGGATTTGCTGTTATAAGATCATCAATTGTCTGTGTTTTTCTTGGTGTAACCATCTTCCTTGGGTTGGAGTTTTCCTTCTATTATTTTAGGTAGGGCTGGGTTTGTGGCTAGGTATTGGTGAAATCTAGATTTGTCATGGAATATCTTGTTTTGTGGTATATCTTCTATGGTGATCCACAGTTTTGCTGGGTGTAGTAGTCTGTACTAGCATCTGTGGTCTCTTAATGCCTGCATAATGCTTGACCATGACCTTCTGGCTTTCATTGTCTCCAATGAGAAGTCAGGTGTAATTCTGATAGGTCTACCTTTATATATTACTTGGCCTGTTTCCTTTGCAGCTCTTAATATTCTTTCTTTGCTCTGTATATTTAGTGTTTTGATTATTATTTGGCGAGAGGACTTTTTTTTTGATCTAGTCTATTTTGTGTTCTGTAAGCTTATTGTATCTTTATAGGCATATCTTTCTTTAGGTGGGGAAAGTTTTCTTCTATGATTTTGTTAAATAAATTTTCTGCGCCTTTGAGTAGAACTTCTATACCTAATATTCTCAGATTTGACCTTTTAATGATATCCCATATTTCCTGGATATTTTGTGTTAAACTTTTGTTAGATTTAATGTTTTCTTTAACTGATGAGTCTATTTCCTCTATTGTATCTTCAGCGCTTGAGGTTCTCTCTTTCATCTCTTGTATTCTGGTGTTCATGCTTGCGTTTGTGGTTCCTGATTGTTTGCTCATGATTTCTGTTTCTATAATTCCCTCAGCTTGTGTTTTCTTTATTGTTTCTATTTCAGTTTTCAAGTCCTGAATAGTTTCTTTTATATGTTTGATTTCTTTTTCTTGGTTTTCTTTAAGTGATTTGCTGATATCTTCCAATTTTTTGTTTGTCTTTTCCTCAATTTCTTTAAGGAAATTTCTCATTTCATCTTTAAGAATTTCAAGCATTCTCTTGAGGTTATATTTTAGGTCATTTTCTTCTGGTCCATCCATATTTGGTTGTTCAGGTCTTGCTGCTGTAGGGTCTAGGTTTTACTGGTGTTGTGCTGCTCTTTGTGGTGTAGCATGTGATCTTACCTTTTCTATTCATCTTTTTCTCTAATAGGTGTAGTTGGGGCTGTCTGAGATTCTGTTGAATAATCTTCTAGGTGCCCAGATGGTTGTTCCTCATGGTACAGTCAGTGTCACAGTTCTAGTTACCCCTTTGTTTACTCGGTGTTCCTAGAGGTAGCTCAGCGCTTCTGTGCCTTGCTCTGCTCACTTACAGTTTGTTGTCTCAGGCCTACTTTGGCCTGGGTTGCCGGCTTTGCCCTGTTTCTTTAAATCCTGGTCTAAATCTCCTCCTGCAAAAGTCCCTGAGTTTAAGTTGGACTGGAAAGGTTTCTAGTTCCGGTCTACTGCCTCGGAGGTTCCAAGCTCGGGTGCACCTATTCCTTTTGATGTTTCAGACTAGTCGCCGCTGGCAGTCTTAACTGCTGCGCCATCTATGCACCCTCCACATGTTGTCCTGTAAATAGGTTACCACAGCATGAAGCACAGTCGGAAGTCATGGGGATCCCAGTTAATTCCCTCAAAACTCTTGAGAAAGTCTACTGTAGGTAGCAGAGACAGTGCTTCTGGTCCACACAGAAAGGGACACACAGTGACGTAGATTTTAGTTACCCCTTCTTGTAACATGAAGGCCAGCTGTGGGGATTTCCGTCCCTCCCGGTACCCCACAACCGGCAAGTCCCAAAGAAAATCATACTGAGGACTCCATAAGATTATAAAACTGATTGGCCCATTAGGTCAGGCTACTTATTAGCTAACGCTCACATCTTGATTAACCCATTTTTCTGATCTATTTTAGCCATATGGCTCTGTACCTTTTC